ATAATCATAATGCATTAGTATTGGTTTTGAATTTTGGCTTTTAGTTCCTGTTGCATAATAGGATACCTTTTATTTTTCTTCTTACGGTAAAAATTGCATTTAAAATTATTTGTTTATTTATAAGCATATTATTATTCATAATTTTACAGCACAAGCCAAAACATTATACAGTTAAAAAATAAAAATTACTTATTAACCACTTTACACTTATGTAATAGGTTTCTTATATACAAAGTACAATAATTATAATTACTTAAAACTAATTCATCAGTCGTCCATCTTCTCACAAAATCCGCATCTGGATACCGATTAAGTGGTTGATTACGCGAGACCTCATTCTGATAGCATCGTTCAACCATAATTAGAATAAGCATTTTTTTTCAATAAGAGTCTGCACAATAAGACACATGTCTTTCTTAGACAAGGGGCTCCATGACGATTTTTCAGTTTGGAGTAAGAAAAAGTAACCAACAATTGGCAATTTAGCAATTTGTCATGACTGGAAATCGTATGGCAAAGCAATTCAACATTATTGCGCAGTTGTTTAATACTTTCAGGTAACTAGAGCAACTGAAAAAAAGCCTGTTTTACGATATGAAAATTGTCTGACAAGTGAACGGTTCATAGATTAACAAGAGTGTGTGAAGGTGACTAAAGTGACTAGCTCCTTGATCCACATTATATGTGACTGCCAGGCATGTGAATAGTATTTTTTTTAAAGGGGGGAAAATCATCGAATGTCTGTTCCCGCCTGGGTGAGGCGGGAGGGAGTGTCAGACTCTTATGGACTAAAAACGACCCCGTTCCTACTCCTGCACTTCGAGTTGGAGCCCCAGTAACTTTTTAGGTTCTTCGCGACACGTGAATAGTATGGGGGCATTTCATAGGAAGATTCCCGAGTCCCGAATAAACTTCATAAGACTAAAAATTTACCACAGGCCTTCCCATACGAAGAACTTTAACCATCTTTCAGGAAGATGAAGGACGGTCATGATGTAGAATCGATACTAATACTAAACCCAAACGAAAACCTACCAAAAAAAAGAGTTAGATAACTAGATACTCAAATCTGTTCCAAAAAATAACGTAAAATCCAGCATCCGACGATATAAACAGATTAATAGTCGATTTAAAAAAGCCCGAGGGTTGTATTCGTTTGACACAAAAGTAAATACGGATAATGATCCCGTACGCCAGCGGGAACGAATACTCGACAAAGGTTTGATACAGATAACAACATTTTGATAAGGGATATACGAGGTATTAACAGTTTTAATCGAAATCTGTGTTTGTATAGCCGATTATCAGGTAATCTGTGTTAAAACTAACACAAGAGTGTCTATGAATGTGATGTTGCAACAAACGTTATATTTTTTTGATGGAGAAAATCTCATCCAACGATTTCTCTCGGCTTGTTTGATGCGAGGAGTGTCAAACTCTTACTGATTAAATAACGAGGTGGCCGTTCTTTCTTCTGCTTCGAGCCGGAGCTCCGGTAACCCACTAGGTCGTCCGCAGATCAGGGTCGGAACAAACACTATCTACTCTTTTAATTTAGCTGAATGCAGAAACGAGTAAAGTTATTGAATTGAGCATATAATAAACAGCGAGTTATTTGCAATCTACCTATCTTGTTTTTCTAGACTGGTAGTCACTTAGAAAAACTAGGCACAAAAAGGGTAACAACATAGTTTAGACCTATAGCTACGATGTATGCGGAAATTGTGTTATTAAAGTTGACAAACTAATTACATGGAGAGTGCAAAGTTACCTCTCAAACTACTCCACTAGACGTAAGCGGGCAAGGGGAAGGGTAGAATACACTACTTCTACTCTTTCCCCGGGTTCATAAAAGTCGACTCAGGGACTGGCTATATATCAGACTCCAAGTAGCAGTGTTGTCTGCTAAACTCTTTTAACTGTGACCTCTATCTTGATTTAGGCAAACCCCTTCTAAGTAGGGAAGGGTTTTAGAATATATACTCGCCTCGGGTCTCTATGTAGATTAGTCTTTCGACTTTTTGATAGAGAATAGCGAATTCGAAATCAAGTACATCAGAACATTTTTTCTTAAGCTGAATATCAAAATTAGGACTTAAACTGTTAAACACCAAGCGGTCACCGGTGACCGCAACCTATTGTTCTATAATTGTGTCTATAATGACGGTACTCGACGAGTTAAGAGAGACTTATAATTGTTTTTATAATAACTGTCGTGAGACATACAAAATTAACTAAAAATCGCGGGTTGCTCACGTGAATGTAATGAGAAAAGCTCTACTAGTTTCGAGCCACAGAGGGCTCTTCCTCATGAGCAGCGTGCTAGGCTGCGCTTTTTTAGTAGAGCTTTTCTCAGTATATTGACATGAGTAGCCCGCGAGTTTTAGTTAATTTAGACTTGTTATTGTAACGACTCAATAATACTACATTTTCCTACACAAAACGCAATGTTTACAAATTATGACTAGCTTTCGTGCGCACACAGTAACATATTAATGGCTGACTAACACGAGTTCTTAGAATACTACGGGTACCATTCAGTAATTTCATGTGTAACTAATTAATGAACTCTAACAGTTTAGTAATAGGTCGCTTTATGCAATGTCACAAGTTATTACCCTGAGGGGTTTGAAGTTACCAAATGTCTAAGGGAATTTGGAATGGTTTGGTTATTGTTAGAGAATCAAGTCATTTAGATATGGCAATTAGTATTTTAATTATTTCGCAGTTAACCCTTTGAGTACCGTCATTATAGACACAATTAAAGGACAATAGGTTGCGGTACCGGTGTCCTCGTGGTGTTTGACAGTTTAAAATTGTGTAGTAAAGACTAATTCTTTAGGAATTTTGGAAGTGACGAGTAACATATCGAGTTCTGTAGGATGGTATGATGAGGCCTAAGCCCAGTGGACGGACACGGTCATGGGATGATCACCATTACATCGAGTTACCGCTCTCGGGTCATGGCATTCCAACTGAGCCAACTTGGCCTTTTTGCGCCGTGTACACTTTTACCATTTTTGTTATTGTATTTTATTCTTCTTGTTTTAATTTGTTACGGTGCAAATAAACAAATTTTCTTTCTTACATTATCACCAACAGTCGGAAGACGTCTACAAAGGCGTCCCGCTTAGTCATCCACATGGGGTTTTTTTTGGGGGTTACAGCGTACGTTCCGGCTCCAAGCAGGCGTAGAAACGGGGTGGGTTTTTAGTTAGTAAGAGTCTAACACTCCCTCTCGCCTTCCTCCAATAAATTAGATTCCAATAAAGGGCAGGATCTGTCTCATTAGTAAGATAGGTAATCATAAAAGCGACTACTGAAAAGTCGGTGTCGGGATCGATGCTGAGTCAGGGGAAGATTTTCGATTATACCTTCTAAAATAAAGCGGAGTCGAGAATAGTATATAGTGTTTACAAAAAAATTGGTTTCTATCTTATACTATTATCTAATAAAGCGGAAGAGTTTGTTTTTTTTGTTTGTTTGTTTGAACGCGCTAATCTCCGTAACTACAAGTCTGATTTGAATAATTATTTTTGTGTTGGATACCGCATTTATCGAGGATGGCTATAGGCTAAAAAACATCACGCTACGACCAATAGGAGTTGAGCAGAGCGTGTGAAACTGAGCGGGAGTAGCTAGTTACCTATATGAGTCTTATAATAGTGAACAGTGGGTGTTACATTAAATACCATTCAGAAGAAAAACTATGCACAAACACAAAGAGAACTTTCGCAACAGAACTGCGCAAAATTTAGTTTGATGCAAAGCAAAATGACTATGTAAGTTTTAATGACCACTTGTGTATACACTAATGTAGTGTATATTAATTATTTCGTATCAAAATATATGTATGTGTTGTGTTTATTTTATTTATACGACGACCAGACTATTTTCTTATTCCAAACTCCGATATACTAGAAAACAAAAAGGCAATAACTCTTTGATCAATCCTTTAATGGAGACAGTTACATTTTCGACTATTTGACAAACGAACGTCTAAAAGATAATAAAACCTTATGAGTACGATTGAATTTTGTTCGTAAACGACAGAGGAGAAAACAGGGTAGGGTAGGGTCAAAAAACTGTTTAAAAAAGCCTTGTAAAAACAAAGTAAATTGTTAGATTTTCCCGTTGAATAGAAACTTTTCTTCAGACTTTTACTTCAACGTGAGTTCTAACTTTATAAGGTTTTCGAGGCAACGTCCTCGTGGCCGAGAAGCCATAATTTAAAAGAAAGTATTAATAAGACTTATTTAATAAACAAAGCGTATTTCAAAACATTCGTTATGACTACCTCGTTGGTCGGTCGGGGTGACTGCAAAGGGTAACCAGAATTACAACCGTTACAAGTTCGTTACCGGATTTTTAAAAAGCATGTAAAAATGAGATTATAAGACTAATGGAGTATAGTGGCTAAAACTGTTCATTTATGACACATTTACGGAGATAAAACAACACCGATAATGGCAACTCGATGTTTTTGATAACTCAGTATTGTTATATGACTCAAATAAATTATTAAAAACTAGCTTCTGCCCGCGACTTCGTACGCGCAATCCCGTTTTCTCCTGTTCCCGTAGGCTTTTCAGGACTTTTTTCTGTCATAAGAAGTTTCTCCTGACAATAATAATCACAACAAAAAAAATCTGCCAAATCGGTTTAGCCGTTCTCAAGTTATGACGGGACAACGGGAAACGGGTTTCATTTTTATATATATTTACTAGCAGACCCAACAGACGTTGTCCTGCATATCCACTTGAATGTATAAACAAAAATTCATTCAAATTAGTTCAGCTGTTTAGGATAAATAATCTTAACATCGACTGCAGCGCCATCTGCCGGGTTGCTTTGTGAATCTAAACCATTCCCAGATCCCCGTGAACACACACAAACAAATTCATCAAAATCGGTCCAGTCGTTTGAGAGAAGTTCAGTGACATACACACTCACAGAAGAATGATATATATAAAGATATAATAGATAATAGATGAACTTACCAACACAATGGGGACAGTCTTCAACTTGGTCCATTGTATCCTGAAAGAGGCTCTGTTGCACTTTGCAGAAGTGAGCCTCACCCAGCCTGGTAGCTCCAGGAGGTCTGTCAGCAACTCCTCATCCAAGGTCAGGTCTTGCAGCTCACCAGACCCTCGCAACGCTGAGAGGGAGATCTGTTCTGGTGACAGATTCTTTGTGAACCTGGTGGAAAGAGATAAGTTTTAAAGAGAGTTCATTACTTCGGTGGATGGCTGGTCAACGTGTGTCGTCTGAATGTGTTTTTATGGTATAAGCCAGTAAACGACCAGACGGATCTCCTGATGAAAAGCCATCGGCGCCGCCCATGCTTACCCACCCGACCACAACATACACCAGAGGAGTATCAGGTGCATTGCTGGCGTTTTGAGGGTTAGGAGAATTGGGGAGAATGGGGTAGGTAAGACTGAAGGAGGAGAGGGAAACTGTTGATTTCTTTTTTATTAAATAACAATAGTGGTAACTATACGGAGTGATACCACAGCCTCACAGAAAACCGACGTGAAACAACGCTTGCGTTGTGTGAGTGAGGTCACCGAAGGCCTAATTACCACACCCAACCTCCTTCCCCAATCTCCCCAATCCCTAACTCCCAATCTTCAAATTTCTAATCCCCAAAAACCAAAACCAAACGCACTTGTAACGCCTCTGGTGTTCTAGGTTTCCATCGGTCAATAATTAACACCTAGTCAAAATTTGTTGCAGTGCGATGCCTACTTAAGTAGCTTGGGATAATACTATGAGCAGGCAGATTGACGTCACTGAGAAACCGCCACACGATGGTATTTTATGTAATAAATACAATTTGACGTCGTACAACGTGGGTTGAGGTTCTTTTGATTGACAAAATCCATATAAGTAGAAGGAAACGACATTACAGACAAAATTGAATTTGTTCTTTTTCCAGCTTTCCGTATAGGAATAACGAATGATATATTTATATGCAAAATGTTCTTACAGATGAATTATAGGGTTTTTAAAAAAATCTCAGTAGAAGCACGGAGTCCGGAATTGTGCCCGATGGCAATAGGCTCACCCCCTAATACATGGGACTCGTAATATAAATACATATTGAAAAGTAGTTGTTACATTGTACAGTGGCATTAAGTACCGTAATGTGTACCTCTTGCCTACCCTTTCGGGGATAAAAGGCGTGATGTTATGTTCTTGTAAGAATATGAATTTCACAATACAAAGATCTACTACCTAGTTACCTACTTTATTTAGTTATATAACATAACATCACGCCTTTTATCCCCGAAGGGGTAGGCAGAGGTGTACATTATGCCACTGTACAATGTAACACCCACTTTTCACTATTTATGTTATGAGTCCCATGTAATAGGGGGTGAGCCTATTGCCATATACCGGGCACAATTTCAGACTCTGTGCTACTACTGGGAATTTTTTTTGAAAAACCCAGTAATACTTTGCCCGACCCGGGAATCGAACCCGAGACCCCTTGCCCGGGGTTATATAAATATTTAATATTGTTATATATTTAGTTATATAAAGATAGTGAAAATCGATTACCCGGCAATAAAATACGAAACAATTCAAACTAGTCTAGAAATAAAGATAAACTCCAACTCAGGAGTAAATTAAAAAACATTTTTCTATAAAAATACACAATATTTCCTTTGAAGTTCCAGTGGAAAATTTATACTATATGAATAATGAATTATTCAACTTCAATAGCTCATTTTCTTCCATGTTTCATTATTCATACAGTTTATAATGAACACAGAGTGAGAGGAATCCCATATATGTACATTTATTACTGGAAATTATTGTTTATTGTTGTCTTAAGATGAAGGGATCGATGTTGTATTTTGTATTGATTTTATATTGTGCCTTCTTCGTCCGCGGAGAATATAGTCTTCTGGCAGCATTTAGGCTTTTGAATTAGTCTTTATCAAGGTATTCTTCAGTAACGAATGTCGTCAGAATTGATTCAGTACCTATAGGGCTCCTTTCGTAGGTGATAACGTGATAATATGAAGCCTATATGTTGACCGGACCTGGGGGCCTAAAAAGGTAACATTGGGTGAATCATTTCTAATATGACAGATTTGATGAATTGTTAGAGAATCACCTAAATCACCATAAAATGGTAAAAATAAAATATGAAACACCTTCAATTCATTTCATAACTGAATCATATTAGATGCCGATGTTGCTACATAAGAAATATATAGAGAAAAACCGAACCGTAACTTTACCGGTTTTGTTTATCTTGTGTTTTATTATAACTTAAATTAAAAATTTCGATCCTGAATGTTTTTTAATTATAATATTTTCTCATATCTATCAAGAAACTAGAAAATCCATTAAAATACAGTGTGAAAACTACATACAGAATTTGATTTTGTTTTTCTTATTTCCTTTTTGCTGGCAATGACTCGTGCTCATACGTCACGTCAGTCAGTCACTGTCAGAATAACAGTAAATTTAAACTTCATTTAAACAAACAAATTTGTAAAAAAATATTAAACTCTTTAACTTAGACATTATTTCATTGGGAAGTAAGTAACAGTAAATAGAGTTCGAGATGTGAATGGAATTCGAGAAGTAAATTGATACAGAAAAGGGCTCCTCCCTTACCAAGGCGAAGATTGAACGCTATGGATTTTATCTATTAAGAAATAATACACGTTAAAAGGTAAATATAATTATTTGTTACTAGCTTATTTGTGTACTTAATACTAGTCATTAATACCGAGCCAGACACTCAACAACGGCACTACGCCCAAAAACATTGTCGGCCTCGGAATACTGTGGAAAGGTGTATCGAAGTACTCAAATCTTGCTGGCGATGCTGAAGTATTGGTTCATCGCAAGATACACTATAGCAGGACAAGTGCATTTGCATGTATTTGTGTTAACTGAAACAATGACATGTTGTTTTATTGTAGCTTACCATAAACCAGGCAATGATAGTAGCTTTAATATGATAAGTAAGGTAAAATATGCAACTTAGAAAAATTTAATTTCATTCATCATGTTTCATTTTCAGATACCTGTTTTTTTGGACAAGCCTGCCACAACCTTCCCAAACTGCTGCGACTCCTGTAAGCCAGGATCTACAGTAGATGACACCAGAACACTGAAGTCCGGCGCGTGTCAGGGACATAATTAACTGTCTTGGATCCCGCTACGAAATCAGATTGATTTATCAGAAGATATTATAAGAGGAGAAGAAAAAAACAATAGTTTGCACTTTCCTCGGTTACTTTTAGTTAGTGGTTATGAAATAAATGTTTTAAAATTAGTGACTTTATTTTATTGCTGTGAATGATATCTCTATCAGTTGAAATATCTCTCCTCTCTCTCTCTTCACATTACAAAAGGTTGTACTATGGCTATAGACCTAAAAAACTAAGGCAAATAAAAACAACAAAATTTTTAAATCGTCAGACACGTGCTGACTAAAGTTTATTTATTTATAAGTCCGTTTCGTACTAGAGAATTAGTATTAGTTCTTGCACTCTGTATAGGCGTATCCTGAAACACAATTTTAATCATTAATATTTACTATATGTACAGGATCACAATTTAGAGTTTTATTTTATAATTTTAGTGTAAAACTTGTTGAAAAGACATACTGACAATGAAATAACCCAAGGTATATGAAGATACAACTTCAATCATGCCTATTAGTAATATACGATCCAGAAGCGTTAAGTATTAGTGCACTTAATACCTTAAACATAAATAAATACATGAGATGTACATGTCTATTCTTTCTTGAAAAAATCTTAAGGGATAATTGCAACTTAGTTGTATAACTAATTAATAGTTTGGTGGCTACTTATCTTGCACACAGTACTTATTCCACCACGTCGAGAGGCTATAATACACTTCCAACTCTTGGGATTATTTTGTGACACACACTATTATTTACGCGAAATAATCCAACATATTCAGGCTCCGGTATTTCAAAAAAAACTTGCATTTCCTGGAGAGTCTCACTTCGCCGACGATATGAAAACCTTTCTAAAACACGTGCATGCTCCAAAAAGTTTTCAGAAAGGCCTAAATCTCCTATATTTCATTAATTTATTAATAATATAAACTAGATGAACTGTGAAATGTTGCCTTTGAGTAACATCTGACAAATCTGATTATTTGACGTATAGGAATTCACTCTTTGCAAACCATTTTACGAATTTCCATTGAAAAGTGTCATATTAGATGAATTGCAAATATGAAACACTTTCAGTTCATATTATGAATCATCAAAATGTTGCTATACCTCGTGTGTTCATAAGTTTTGAGACAAACTTTTTGCTTATAAAAATAAAATAAAAATTACTGGCTGCTGTATATTTCTTTTTCTAATTTTGAATTTGGAATGTTAACTTTTAATATCTATGATTTCGGATTATTTTATTTAAATTTTCTCGTAATGGAGGGAACAAAAGAATTACGTGCGACCGTCATTTCATTATTTAAGGTGGGAAGAAAACCTATGGACATTTTCCGAGAACTGAAAAGTTTTGGTGTGAGCCGTAACTTCGTGTATTACACTATTAAACGATACCAGGAGACAAGTTCTTTACATGATCGGCAAAGAAGTGGTCGTCCACGCTCTGTGAGGACGCCTGCGAACATTAAAATCATCCGAGAGCGACTTCGCCGAAATCCATGTCGCACTCAGAAGAAACTCGCTCTGCAGACCAATATTTCGCGCGTTTCAGTCAACAGAATACTGAAATATGATCTCAAGGTTAAGGCGTATAGCCGTAGAAAAGTACACTTTTTAAACGATCGCCTTCGTCAATTGCGACGCGAACGTTGTCCAATACTGCTTAGGAGACACGATGCGAGGAAGATACTCTTCACCGACGAGAAAATCTTTACCGTCGAAGAAAAGTTCAATCGACAAAACAATAAAGTGTATGCCAAAAGTAGCAAGGATGTCCCACCTTCAGCACGGAATGTCTCGCGTACTCATCATCCGGCTAGTGTCATGGTATGGTGGGGAGTTTCGTACGAAGGTGTCACTCAGCTTCATTTCTGCCAACAAGGCGTCAAGGTGAAAGCCAAAAATTATCAAAGTGACATTCTAGAGACTGTTGTGAAACCCCTGTCTAATACCCTATTCCATAACAAGTATTGGGTTTTCCAGCAAGACTCGGCGCCATCCCATAAGGCTAAAACCACCCAAGCTTGGCTGAAAGAAAATGTGCCGGCTTTCATTGCGGCGAACGAATGGCCCTCCTCCAGCCCCGATCTCAACCCGCTGGATTATTCTCTATGGACCGAATTAGAGCTCAGAGCCTGCCGAAAGTCCCACCCAAACTTGGAGTCACTTAAGCGAGCTCTTGTCCGAGAAGCGAAGCGAATTCCTCTGGAAAAGATTCGTGCCGCCATTGATAACTGGCCAAATCGTCTAAGGGCATGTATTAAAAACAGGGGTGGTCATTTTGAATAATAATTATATTTAATTTTTACTTACTATCTACTTAATGTTTGTTATTGTTTTTATAAATATAAGTTTATTATTTAAAAAGATATGCAACTTTTAATTTGTCTCAAAACTTATGAACACACGAGGTAGATAGATAGATAGAAACATATAAAATAAATTTAACCTTCACACTGGATGGTTCTTTATTTTATTTATTTTAGAAAAATACAAATGTTATTGGATTGATCTAAAACATGTTAACCTTTTTTAAGGGGGAAAATCATCGAATGACTGCTCCCGCCTGGGTGAGGCGGGAGTGTGTGACAGACTCTTACTGACTAAAAACCACCCTGTTTCTTCTCCTGCACTTCGAGCCGGAGTCCCAGTAACCCGTTAGGTTCTCCGCGACTCCGATAAACATGTTGACTGAATGTTTAACATAGTAGCTGGGGCATCTGGATGCTGTGCAACGTATCAAGGGTTAAATTCCAGCAAAAAACTGTTTGTGTGATTTACAAATTGCTATTCCAGGAGTGGGCATCAACAACTTCAGACAAAATGATCGTGTGGATGGGGGTCCATAATACGACATAAAATATAACATACCATCACTCCTTTTATCCCCGAAGGGGTAGGCAGAGGTGCACATCACGGCACTTAATGCCACTGTACAATATAACATTCGCTTTTCACTATTAATGTTATGAGTCCCATGTAATGCAACGTTGGCCGAGTGGTCGCAATTGCGACTGCCGGGCAAGGGGTCTCGGGTTCCATTCCCGGGTCGGGCAAAGTATTACTGGGTTTTTAAATATTCTCAATAGTAGCACGGAGTCTGGAATAGTGCCCGGTATATGGCAATAGGCTCACCCCCTATTACATGGGACTCAACATAAATAGTGAAACGTGGGTGTTACATTGTACAGTGGCATTAAGTGCCGTAATGTACACCTCTGTCTATCCCTTCGGGGATAAAAAAGGCATGATGTTGTATTATGTTATGTCCCATGTAATAGGGGATGAGCCTATTGCCATATGGGGCCCATTTTTTAAAAAAAATTGCCATTTAACAATCAATACTTTAGTACTTCTTATTAAATTGAGTAACATCCAAATAATAAATGTACAGTACACAGTAATATACACAAGTTAATATACATTATGGCTACATAAGTACAGTGTCACAACATTTTAGTCAATTTGTTTACAATAACATAATATCGTATAATACCTATCATTATGTATAATGTAAAATTGGCAGTGTATTCACAAAGGAAATGTGATAAAAATTACTGGTTGAAATCTGAATGTCATAAATATAGATACATAATAACATAACCTAACATCACGCCTTTTATCCCCGAAGGGGTAGGCAGAGGTGCACATTTTACCACTGTACAATTTAACACCCACTTTTCACTATTTATGTTATGATTCCCATGTAATAGGGGGTGAGCCTATTGTCATATACCGAGCATAATTCCAGACTCTGTGCTACTATTGAGAATATTTAAAAACCCAGTAATACTTTGCCCGACCCGGGAATCGAACCCGAGACCCCTTGCCCGGCAGTCGCACTTACGACCACTCGGTCAACGAGGCATATACATACATATTAGTATTTATTATTAGACTCATTGCTAGTGACCGGTAAAGTAGAAGGAAAGTGACCAAGATGCTGGAGTCCCAAATGGTGATCTGACAAAATATCCAAGGAGCTGGAGATACCCATAAACGTTGCAATGGACCAAGCAACGGAACGAGATCAGTGGCCACATCTAGTGAGCAAAATCAGAGGGAGTCACGATCCTCAGCAGTGAGGGAATTGACTAAGAAGAGATGTTATCCTTACTAATAAATATTATAAATCGGAAAGTGAGTTTGTTTGTTTGTTTGTTCCGCTTTCACGCCGTAACCACTAAACCGATTGCTTTGATTTTATGCAGACGTAAACTTAGAAGTCCAGATTAAATAAAAGGGTACTTTTTATCCCGGAAAAAATGATATTCCCGAGAGAAAAACAAAAGTATTGGTATAGATGGCGCCGTGTGTATTCGTATATGTCACATAGACTACTTTATATCCTTTTGTGACGCGAGCGAAGCCGCGGGAAAAAGCTAGTGGTAATATAATGGACATTGAAGATTCAAATAATATCTTTCACAGTCCCCATCTGTGACAGCCAGCCACCAAAGTGTTGGTCTTAACCCTCTGCAACTGACGTGGTTAAATTGTTACAATTCGACTGAGGTGTATATTATACCAGACACCATTTCAACAGCAATTATTTTTGTAGAATTAAAGTATAGCGAGCACTATACAGTAAGGTACTCGCAGCAGTGATGCTCGTATTTGAAAAATGACGGTATAACACGTGATTTTGTATTTCGCGGTGTCTGTGGGACTACACGTCAGCTGCTGACGGTTAATATATATTGTGTGTCTACTAATATAACCAGCAAAAACTAGGTATCTTTTAGTTAAGTACATTCTAAGAGGAAAAAACAATCAATGTTGTTTATGTTTAATACAGTCATAGAAAAATATAATTAGTCATATTTAATGACGATTCAAGAATTACTGTTTTTTTTGCCACAACAGTAAGTACAATGGAATAGTCCAGTCTTAACAACCCTCTTACATAGAGGAAGTAGGTTTGCTATTATTTTAATGCTGGACAGGCGGGTTAGAGATTGCAGAATAAAAGTTTTAGGTTTTATTTATATTTGTTGGGCTGATGTTTGACTATCTCGTCTGGTGGTAAGCGATGATGCGGTCTACGATGGAGCATGTCGTCCCATAAGCAACCTATTCACTCGGGCCTTGAGGACACCCATGTTATATATATATACAGGGTGGAATTTTGTAATGCCTCCTGAAGGGGAAGTACTCTTAACCCGTTGAAATCCACCCCCTAAATTTGGTCATACAAAAGTAGTCTCTAAACATTAGAAAAAAGGTCTATAATGTAATGTAATATTAGTGGAAAGCGGTCACCGGTGACTGCTTGGGGATTTATGGGTTAATACTTAAGATAGAAAATTTGACTCAAAGAAATCATTCCTTTATTTTTTAAAAGAGACAAAACTGCACTCGAAGATTTTTAAAAATTAGCTTGCTTCGCACGGTAATCCAACAGACTAAAATCTGTCAAAGTTTACACCCTGTACTTTTATTGCATCAATTGTTCATTGTTTTCCTTTCATTAAATTTATAATGTTTGTCAGAGAGATTTCATCCTTATTGACCTTAACAATGGATGCAATAACTTACATTGCTATTATGCCTCATTGTCTTATTGGTTGCTATTAGGTATGTCTTATTGGTGATAAGTTACTTATCTTTAGTAAATATTTATAGTGAGTAGAATGGCAACAACTTTAAAATAGTTTTGATAATTTAGTAAGTACTAATGAAATGACTTAATTAGTATATAATGAGTGTGAGAAATTTAACAATCAAAGATTGTTTTTGTATAGTTATTTTAATTTTCCTTGATTACTATATATTTATTATACATTACTTATCATCACATTACTGTTTCATATTAAATCAATTGAGGAAAATGAGAATAAGATGAATTATTAGTAAAATAAATGTTTCAAACAGTTTTCAAGGTTTCTCATTCCCCTTGAAACAGATGCCTAATTTACAAAGTATTTAACATGTGTGCCTCACGACTTACACACTTGACCGACTGATAACACAAACACGTCAGATAGCCGCGTATTTAAACAACAAAATGTGTTAACTTAAAATAAAACATTTGTTATATTAATTTCAGTTATGTATAAAGAATATTGTTAAGACAACAGTTTTATTTATTTATCTGACCCTTTCTTCTCCGATACTAATGAGTAAGAGATATAAATAGAGAATAGATAGCTTTATAATTTGCGGCTAACAAAAAACATTATTCAAATATACATACGTAGCTACGATAACAATACATAAATAAATCAAACAAAGGAACATACTTGCCAAGTTAATTGCGCTTGTTTACACATTGAAAGCATATTTAAATTAACTCCAAGCAAAACCAAAGGCTTACAAGTCTTAATCACAGAAAATTAATTAAATTATTATCACAGGAACAAATCCAGGGAACAAGGGACTTATTCAGTAAAATCAATGATCGTACATACCTCGAGAGATGTTTTAACAGTTGGTTCTTTATTATAGTCACCATTGTTAATGATAAATTTGTTATAATCTAACTAAATAACACGGAATTTATCAAAAAATCATTATCGCACACACGAATTCTCACATCCAAAGGTACTTTTCATGTGAATGAAAATGAACGATTTAATGAACGAATCTGACTTAATGTCAAAATCGACCGACAATGCGATGATATTCTCGTATGTCATATGGGTTGGTTTTCCTGTTCACGATGCGACTAAAAATGTTAGATTGTATTTTACAAAACTAATTTTGCAATTTACTACAGACAATTTGTTTCATGACTTACGTGAATATTTTATTGGAATAAATTATAAATTTACATGCTGGCCATGATACCAGCGTATCATGGAATCGTTCCGTAGAAACAAAACGCAAACTTAGCAACCAAACCGCGCTACATTTGTTTGTCCGTTGTTAAGTGCATCATCGATTTTGTACCGTGTACTTTATTATTCCATATAATGTAATTATTTACAAAAAGGCAGAGTGTTACAAGAAGAGGCGACATCAAAATACTGGCTGACAATAAATCTAGAGACGACATTTGTAAGATTCTAAAAACAAGTTTATTTTGACACACAAAGTCTTTTGTTGTTATTTTCAGAGCTTCATTTTCGTTTACAATATTAATATAATTTCGTATTAGTGCTTCGTTGTGAACAATTTCTAAGTATTTATTACAAGTTAGCGGATTTTACAAATTACTTCACTATTGAATAGAGCAGTAAAGAGTAGATACACAACTTGCAGTAAGTTTATTAGTAGGCGCTTACAACTTGGATATTATTGATAATCTCACTTGGTATGTTACATTGCATAATTTTAATCTATTATCTAACAAATAATCATTGTAACAGACAGTAACTGTAAAATATATTTTTACACACAATACGAACTTTTGTACGTAACTTATTTTATCAGATATGTATCTGTCGAATGACTAATCGTGTTTCGTGTCACATAAAAACACCCGCAGTGAAAACACTACACCATGGCGGAAGCCATTCAGGCGTCCCGTGGTCTCATTACTTTAACAGATCACCTTGAGAAAGTGTAAATATTTACGTCTGAACTGCTGTAAAAACTGCCAAGGTTTATTTAGTAATTAGTACAGCCAACCATGGCGGTAGTAGCACTAGAATAACTTTTTATGACTTGGTTATATACACTTAAACTTCTTGAATTTGAACGCACCGAGCGGCGTTGGTTGCTTACCACCAGGGGATTCGTTTTTCCCTTTTCCATCCCATATGTTGACTGCACGGTTGGTGCGGTGGCTGGGCAATCGGCTGCCGTGCAACGTGTCGCAGGTTCGATTCCCGCACGGAACAACACTTTGTGTGATCCACAAATTGTTGTTTCGGGTCTGGGTGTCATTGTCTATGTGGATTTGTATGTTTGTAAACGCACACACGACACAGGAGAAAATCCTAACGTGGGCAACGTTTTTTAATAAAAAAAAAGAATATGTCTAAAGAGACAGTTGTTGTTTAATGATAACTGTATTTTACTATCTTGTATCTAGGTACCACATATGTACACACCCAATAGCCACGTCAGTACAGCACCAGTAGTTAAGCTAATTCCAATTTTCAGCATCCCACAGTAATTCACGCTTCCACAATGGCACGCCGAGAGAAAACAGTAGAAATAAACTATATCGACACCGAATTTTCTTCCGGGGACTGCAAACAGATGAGAACGAAACACTACCAGGAGGAGAACAACAACGTAGTTGATGAATTGTCCAAGGAATTGTCCGAAATGGGGTGTATCGTAGACGCAGCGAAAAGACCCCCTAATATCTGCGTCGAAACTTGCGTCTACGAGGAATCGGAGTCCGAAAATGAAAAAACTGAGGTCTATAACGAAGAGGATGCGTACTCCGACGAATTTGAGGAGGATAAAAGTGAGGAAGAGGAATCTGTGAAGTCTTTACCCAAGTCTGTGATGAGTGACACAAGCAGAGAGCCCACCAATAGGTCTTCCATGAAGTTAACCAAAAGTCAGTCTTCTATAGCTAGTCATAACAAGCCACCAGGGTCTGTGTCGGGAAGATCTACCAGTTTTGGGTGAGTTTATTTTGCCATATAATTATGTATGTTGCGTTGCATGTGAACATACAAATCTAGAGAATAGTTTTACCTGTTTTACGACAAAGCCTACCCGTTATTTTAATCCAATATTCAATTTGAGACTTGTTATGAATTTACATGACGTGAAATCTATTCACGTAGAAATTTTGAAACTCAGAAAAAATGTAAAAACTAAAATTTGTTACATTATTAAGTAACATCCAGGGTCGTCTGTCTGCAGATCAGTATCTGGCCTAAAAACACGTCGTATCAACATGTCTTTCACGAATGAGCGCCTTCGAGAGATTGAGAGGCATAACCACATACTTCTGACGAAGATCCTCAGTGCCAGGAACACGAGGAAGTGCTCCATTCCATCTCGGGAGCAGGAGGCTCGGAAACCTGTACCCTCGGCTGCAGTCTGCCGCAAGAACCAACAGAGACAGATTGACCATGATAACATGGTATGTAGTTACCTAATTAATTAATTAATTAACGTCTAGATCCTTTGGCAATGCGTATAGATGTAGCCTCGTTGTGCATTCTCTATCGCTTATACCACGGGGAGTGCTCTGAGGAATTGTTTGACCTGATACCTGCCGCATCTTTTCGACATCGACCCTCACGACAGAATATACATCCCCACCATATAGATGGTTCGCAGGCCACAACTGTGCGCTTCTCACGATGCTTTCTGCCTCGCACAGCAAAACTGTGGAATGATCGGTCGTCGGCGGTATTTCTGGACCGATACGACCTTCAAGAAAAGAGCGTATTCCTTTTTAAAAGGCCGGCAACGCACCTGTGACTCCTCTGCGGCGGCGGCCTCTGGTGCGGCGGCGCTGATCGCTTACCATCAGGTGATCCGTCTGCTCGTTTACCGGCTTATACCATAAAAAATTACATTTAATTTCCAGATTCTTCTCAAAAAGATCCAGCGCGCGAAATCATCAGCCTGCAGCATCCGCCGTTGATACAGAAGAGGCGTCCGATGCGCGGGCGCACGTTTATGCCAATGTTGTTCAATGTTACACTTTACGCTACGAGTGATGTTACTGTTAATAAATTTATTATACGAATTTATATTGAATTACAGTTTTTGTTTATTTATGAATCAGTTCACACAATGATGTACACATTTTAACCTTTTAATTTTCAAAGTTGCCAACTTGACTCTTAATATATCGTTGTTAAGTATACAAACGCATAATTTTACAAAGATCATACTGAAACCGACAATTTGTGAATCACAAAAAGTATTTCTCCATGCGGAAATCGAATCCGCGACTGATACGTTTCTTAGATATTTTTCTTTATTATAAGTATACAAGTTTGACAAACTCTCATTATTGTAGAGGGCCACCTCCAGTCCAACAGTGGATTCTCACTGGCTGCTGATATGATATTTGTAACAAAATTGTATGAAAGTAACTGACACAGTGTCTGAAGGCCTGAAACGGTAAAAAGATACTCAATAAAAACAGAGATGGCGTTACTTGTCACATTTTCAGCGTTTATACACGTTACTGAAATATTCACAGAGACATAATAATATGGTCCATCCAAAGAGTAGGGGACTCTTTCGTTCATGGTAAGAAGCTTCCATCATAATAATATGTACTTTAAACTTTATTTATTAAATAAAGTACATTAAGATTATAATTTTAATATAATTTAATTACTTGTAACGAATAAATCTAAACTAATCTATACATATGTATAAACTAAATAATAAATAACTAGGGCTAAAATAAATGAATAAAAACTAAAGTATTTGTACAGTTAAAATTAACATAAGCAACACAGAAAAATAGGAGTTTAATTAGTTTATTTATGATGCTATTAAGTGTTCTCTTGGTGATGCATTATTATGATTGTATACTACCCTGTATGTCGCGGAGAACCTAACGGGTAACCGGGGCTCCGGCTCGACGCGCAGGAGAAGGAACGGGGTGGATTTTAGTCAGTAAGACTCTGACACTCCCTCACGCCTCACCCGGGCGGGAGCAGTCATTCGTTGATTTTCCGCCGTAAAAAAAAATACCACCCTGTATTCCATTAACATCAACAGGCCATGGTACTCCATTGTTGGTGTATGGTTTGCTCTACATAAGAATTCTTCTTCAGTTTATTAGAAAGACTTGCTGCCTGCTGTCTGTGAAATGTGACATTTCCTAGTTTGCTCTTACGAACGTTTGGGAAGACTTTATTTATTTATTTTTAGTTAGTCACAGTGGTAGAAAATCAATTATAGTAACTGACATGATTCCAACAATAAGATATGAGATCGTAATTAATACAAAACAAACATTATATACACAACGAAAAAGAATATTTCTTAATACGGTATTTTACAACTAATCAAATTCAATACTTATATTGAATTTGATTAGTTATAAGTATCGAAACGTCAAAAACGATATTGTTCTATGAATTTTGTACCAAAAACTAACTTATGACGTCATCATATTTTCGAGTCAAATAGCACACTTATTTCTGAAAAAATTGCTAGAATAAATCGAAAATTAAGTGTATCGTCAAATATATGAGTGATATTGTAATTATTTTTGTATATTTAATTGGATTGAAACATCAAAATAATTTATTTTTGACCCAGCATTCATAAGTTTTCTCGCAGTACTTCAAGCATTTACTTAGGTCTTCAAGACTTGAGTTAGGGACAAATGTACATTGCTATTACAAACATGGCCGTCTGAGACTGCGCTGGGCCCCTAAGACACACAATACTTTGGGGCCTTTTAGAAATGTTTCTTTTTTATCTTTCTACCACACTAGAATTTTCCCCTGTATCGTGGGTGTATTTACAAACATACAATATCACATACCTACACATTACACCTAGATTCGAAAGAACAATTTATGGATTGTGAATAACACAAAGATTTGCTAAGTGCGGGAATCGAACTCGCTACACTTTGCGGGGCAGTCGGTTGCCACGTCACGCAACGTGTAGTGGGTATGAGTCTGTTGTAGAAATTATCGGTCCTTAGCGGGCACTTGAGAGTGGGGGCCCTGGGCACGGGCCCCGAGTGCCTTCATGGTAAAGACGCCACTGATTACAAAATGTCTTACATAAATAAGTAGGTAAACAAAATGTAATTTATTCACGAACGTAATGACGTCATTATTTGAAATGATGATGATAATAAAAATGTAAAGGAGGATAATGAAACAATTGTAACGTTTATGTCACGAAGGGCATTGAATTTTTACGAGTGTTGCGCGTCATTTCACAGCTTTATAGTAAAATGACGTCGGTGCTCAGATTACAGAATCTTTTTAACATTATGATGTAAGATCTATAGACTTTTTTTATGGCATAAGCCGGTAAACGGTCAGACGGATCCCTTGATGGTAAGCTATCGGCGCCACCTATGGACACCTGAAACACCAGAGGCGTTACAAGTGCGTTACCGGCCTTTTGGGAATTGAGAATTGTGAAGGATTCGGGGATTGGGGAGACTGTGGAGGGGGGTAATTGGGCTTCCGGTAACCTCACTCACACGACGAAACACTACGCAAGCGTTGTTTCATGTCGGTTTTCTGTGAGGCCGTGGTATCACTCCGGTCGTGCCGGCCCATTTGTGGCGAAGCATGGCTCTTCCAAACATAAGATAGAGTACTAATTACTCCCGTGGTTTCACCCACTCTGCTTGACTCCTGTTGGTCGTAGCGTGTTGTTTTATAGTCTATAGCCTTTCTCGATAAATTGACTTTTCAATACAAAAACAAATTTTCAAATAGAATCTTCAGCTTTATTTCATTTTATACTTAAGTATTGCACACATACAGAAAACAAGTTCACTATGTAACAGTAATTCGGGTACTTGCAATGGGCGGTCTTATCCCACGCGGCGATTTCTTCCAGACAACCTTTGGATGGACATTGTTATTAATTAAAAAAAAAAACTTAAAATACGATATAAGAAAATAGTTAAATGTTTAACAATCGTGAGACATTCTTAATTACCTAAATATTAATATAATTAGCGCCCTAACAGGGTGATGTACTGTACTAGCAGTATAATACCGCTATGTATATACATTTTGCAATAAATAAATAAATAAAAATTGCGAGTCACGTGTGCGAGACATCTTTTGTTTTCTTTTTTCGCTGTTCTCAGTATTTACTGTGTGTGTTACTGTGTTATTATTGTATTTTCACTGTTTTTTTTGGTTTTGTATTATCTATACATATAAATATCTGTATTTATTTCGTCTTTTCTTTCAATATTGTATTATTTTTGTATCTGTGTGCGTGCCTACTGTCGAATAAATGCTTTTTCTTTCTATTTTCTTTAAAATAGTTGAATATAAAATAGGAGGTATACTTTCTATTGTGAAAAGGATACGACGGGGTACATACTGGCGGAGTGCGTGGCGTAGGACGACCAGCGTTATGCTCACAATTATTTTTTCTTTTATATATCATATTTACAATAAATACAGGATTATCCATATAAAATAGTAACCAAAAACCACTAAGTTTTAAACTTGTGCTATCAGTAATGAATCTCAAAATGAAAGTTTTGTAAAATGAGGTTTTACAAATATATACGTCAATGTCGCTAACAATATAAACAACTTAGGATAAACGGTCTTTGCATAAACACATTCCTAAATAATACTTATGTAATATTGCTTTAGTTTACGTTTTATGTTCTGTGGCCTAGTATTATTTTTTATTTCTGAGGGTAAGTTATTAATAGATATCGGTGACGAGTAACGACCTGTCGCTGCTGACTGTTGTCAAAAATATGCAGAGTTATGGCATTCAGTGGTGTCCTTCTACAAATAAGTTATGCCGCGAAAGAAGGTTGCGGCGCTGTGGCGTAGAAAGTTCAATTAAATCGTAATTTAAAAGACTGAAGCTCATCAAAAAGTATTTTTGTTCGGTATGTATTAAGAAGAGTCCTTAACCGACGAGCACGAATGATTGATGAAGCGAAAGAGGTATGTAAGAATTGGGTACTTTCCTTAATCAAAAATAAAATATTTCGACTGTCCAGTACAATAAAATATAAAAAAAATCACACTTTCATTTATTGATTTTATGACTCACTTAATTTTAGTTATACAGCAAATTTTTAAGAAATAAGTATCCTGTTTTACTCTAAAAAACGTGACGTCACAACAGACAATCTCGTTGAATTGTCTGTTGTGACGTCACATTTTTATATATAAACATCATAGAGAACTGTCGTTTTTGACAGTTCGAAAAAAGTATTGAATTTGACTAGAAAGTTGGCAAGTACTCCATAGTCTCTGCCTACCTCCATGGGAGACAGACGTGGTATCATATGTATTAAAAAAATCTTAATTTCCGTACTGTAGGTACACAATGACTTGATGTTCACCTCATGTAGAAGTATAAATTATAAAGTTAATTCACTGACGTGACGCATTTCCTCGACATCAGACTGTGAGATTAAAATCATTCGTACGTCATCCTGAACAATACTGCTGTAATTCAGGACATGTAAACACGTTGGGTATAGTTCGTTGGTTATATTATAAGTAGATGTGGTTCACTCCCACGTTTATCCGGAAATTATGAGAACGTAACGGATGTTATTTAGCCATTGACAGGGTTAACCTGTATCCATTAGTGAATTTGCCGTAACTTCAACGCTGATGATACCTAGGTGCTTATGGAAGAGTTCTCTCTAATTAGAAAAAACAGAGAAAGGACTCGGGGTCCGTGTCCAGAGCCTCCATCCCCAGGGGCCCCGAAGGACCGACAATTTCTACGATGGACGGAAACCGGCTGCCCTGCAACTTGTAGCGGGTTTGATTCCCGCACGGAGGAACTCTTTGTGTGATCCACAAATTGTTGTTTCGGGTCTGGGTGTCATGTGTATGTTAACTTGTGTGTTTGTAAATGCACTCACGATAGGTACAGGAGAAAATCCTAGTTGGCGTTGGCCAAAAAAGGAAACATTCCAAATGGGCTCTGAATTATTGTATGTCCAGCATAGACTTTTTTTTTTCTTTAAGTTGGAAAATCATCGAATGAATGCTCCCGCCTGGATGAGGCGGGAGGGAGTGTCAGACTCTT